GCGCGCCCCCCTCTCCTGCTAGGCCCCGCCCGCGCCCGCAATGGCCCTCCGCCCCGGCTCGGGGCGCGAGGTCCCGTGCACTGACCACTGACCGACGCCCCCATTTCTGCTCCCGCCTCCCTGCCGGCCAGCACCATGGGATGCAATATGTGCGTGGTCCAGAAACCGGAGGAGCAGTACAAAGTGATGCTTCAGGTGGGGCAGCCGGGAAGCGCGGCCGGAAGAGGGCCTGGAGGCAGGTGGCGTGGGCAGGGGCATGGGAGGAACGGTGGGGCTCGAGGAGGAACAGGTAGGGAGCCTCCACTCGGGACTTGCTGTGTGGTAGCACTCCATGGGAAGGAGCCACGGATGGGGGCTGGGTCGGGGGCACGGGGGGCAAGCGACTTGGACGACAGAGCCTTTGGTCCACATCACCCTGGTAGGAAGTTGGGCTGGGGGGGCGTGTTGTAGTCCTGGGAGTGACTCAAAGGATGTTCTGGGCTCCAAAGGGAGTCGTGGGCGCGGCGCTGGGATGCAGGTTGCATAGCAACCAGCTGGGCCCAAGCAACGCTCTCCCTTCTGGACCCAGAGCCACTGGGGAGCAGCTGGTCACCCACAAGCATGGGGTACGGATCCCAGGGCGTCGTGGACTTCGTCCCCGGAGATGGACGGTCACTTCTGCACCCCATCCCAGATTTGACTCTGCTCGAATCTGGGCTCCAGGGCTTTGGGAGACTTGGGAGAGTGGCGTGAGCCACCCAGGCCTGGCATTCCCATGCCCATGCTCTGCCAGGGGCCAGACACCAGGCAGGGAGTCCCAGGGACCAGGAAGACCCCAGGCCCCATGCTCACCTGGGACCCCAGCCTCGAAGCCCTGCCTGTATGTGGCGTGACTACGTGAGTGTGTGCCTGTGCCCCATCTGTGTGTACTCGGAGGCTTCCCAGCCCTGCGTGTGTGTACTTTCTGTGTGCACTCTGCGACCTGTCTAGAGGAATGTGTCCCACTCTGTGTGGTTCAGTGCAGGGAGGTCAAGGTCAGAGGAAGCCGAGACCGAGGAACAGACGAGGTGCACACAGGTATGCTGGTATGGCTCTTGCTCAGGGCTGCGTGGTGAGCAAGTGTGAGCCGTCAAGAGATGTTGGCCAGGAAGGAGGAGGCTGGGGGTGATGGTTGCACCTCCCCTCGGGTGTGGGGACGGAGTGCAAAGGAATCAAGATAATGGGGTGGCTGCATGGAGCCCAGCAGTCATGCTGGGAGTTCAACTTCCCTCTGGGCCAGAGAACTAGAGGTGAGAGTTCCCTTGTGCTGGGTGCTGGGTGGCAAATAAGTCCGGCTCCAGCCTGGTGGTGTTTTTGGTCCCTGTCACTGGCTTCTCCTCTCCCACTTTCTGCCACTGTCACCTGCGGCACTCACTTCCTGGCTACTGCTTCTCTGTTCCTGCTGTTGGAAACCTTGCTGTCCACTGCCATTTCTCTCAAGGGAGAGGTCTGGAATCATGGGACCCTGGCCTCTGGTGGGAGGGACTGGGCTGCTTGGATGACAGGGACCTTGGACTTGTCCTCAACCTCAGGTTTCCTTTCTGGAGTCGTCCACTGAATGGGCAAGCAGTTCCAAGAGCAGCCTTGGCTTTCTTGGAGAGAGCCCAGGTCATGCTTCCTGGAGAGCCGGTGTCAGGGGACAGTGGAAAGGGGAGGATAACCAAGCTGTGCCCCAGGCCTGGGAGAGGACAGCAGCCCTGAAAGACCACAAGACCACGACAGGCTCAGTGGGGAGGAGAGAGGAGGGCAGAGGTGACCTGGAGAGGAGGGTCCCTGTGCACCTTCAGCTTTAAACTTGAGCCCCAGCCCAGCCCCATGGAAGGACCCTGGTGATCCATGAGCAAGAGGGCCTCCACAGGCCACCACCCTCTGCACTTGTCTCGGTGGCTCCAGCCACCACTGATGGGTTCTCTGGGGAGGATCCTCCCTTGAAGCCCTGGAAGGGTTGAATTCAAACCTTTGTTTTCTCCCTTGGCCCCTGGCACAATGGACCTGGCATGGTTTCCAAAGCCAACCTAGCCTTTAAGATCAGGGGAAACAAAGGGGATGGAACAAAATGTGGCAAGCAGAGCAAGCCATAGCCCTCCGGCTCGAAGCTCTGAGAGGGACGCCAGGCTGCACTGGCTTCTGCCACTGCTGAAGGGACCACCTGCTGGCCTCCTGGGTTCCCTGCACATGTGCTCTCCTTGTCCCTCCTGAGGGCCCTCACCCATGTTCATGTCTACTTGTGGCTTCGGGACTTGTCTCAGTGCAACCCAGGGCCTGATTTTTCAGAAAATGCATACCCACTCCTGCAAGCTGCAACATTTTTGCTTTTGGTCCTGAGCCAGCCGGTTCTCCACCAGCCCTAAGCTCTCCCTTAAGTGCCTCCCGCTCGGCTGCCTGCACTCTCCTCTACACTCAGGGGTTCTGTGCCCCCAGGGAAGAAGCTCAGATCCCTTTTCCCAGTGACTCACGGGCACTTTCCACAAGCGCAGTTTTGCCAGGTGTAGTGGCTCGCATCTGTCATCCCAGCACTTGTGGTGAGGCAAGAGAACTACCACATGTTCAGGGCCAGCCCAGAGTACGCAGTGAGTTCAAGGCCAGCCTGAACTGCATAGTGAGACCCTCCCTGGAAATACAGTAGCAATAAAACACAGTTTATTGTCATGCAAGTCACAGCCCATTCAGAGTATACTCACAGACTGGACTGTCCAGAGCTTTGACTGCGTCACACAGCCACGTGACCGTCACCCGTAATTTTACCGCACTTGCATCACCTGTGACAGAAACCCTGCCCCCAGCGAGCTGTTGCTACCCTATTTCTGCCCCAAACCTCCCCGTCCCTGGCAACCACAAATCTGCTTTCTAGCTCCATGGCTTGGACTGTTCCCAACATGTCATAGAAATGAACCCGTCCCATAGAGCCTTCTCTGTGTGGCTCCTTTCACGTGGAATGTGCTCAAGGTGAGTCCGCGGCGTGGCGGGGACCGGGGTGCACTCGTTCCAGATGCTGCGCTCAGAGACCACGCACTCCCTCCCATTCAGCACTCGCGCGCCTTCCAGCTGTTGGCAGTAAGGCTGCTGTGCATGCTGGCAGGCAGGGCTCTGAGGACCTGCTCTTAGTGCTTTGGGGCACATAGCTGGCGCTGGTCCACTGCCCCTGGAGCTGCGCGTCCCCAGGGCAAGGTGAGGCGGAGGGTTCCTGGCCTCTCCCTGCACTAAAGACACTTAAACGCCGCCCGCATGCGGCTATTTCCCCCCTCCCTTAGGGCCTCCGCCTGCGCGTGGAGTGACATCGCCTTGTGGATTTGCTTCCTTTCCGCTGGGTTTGTTTCGCTGCTCTGCCCCGGCCCTTGTTATGGCGGGGTCTGCCCTGTGCTGGGGCCCTGGTGGCCATTTGCACAGCTGCTGTGGTGAGCTGTCTGTCCCCACATCATAGCCCAGTCCAAGTTCCCAAATCTGGGAGCCTGAGCCTGGCAGTGTTGGGCTCTTCTCCGTGCTATGTGGGCTGTGCTGTGTCCCTGGGTCCTTGTGAATTTGGGGACTGGCCTGTGAATTTCTGAAGACGATCCAGGTGGGACTGTGACAGAGAAGTACCCACAAACTCGCTGCGTTGTTTACGTGGAATCTCTTTCAACCATGTCTTGCACTTCTTCTGTTAAACTTTGAATAGTGGATTCTTGGAAATGCCCACGTGATCCTCCTGTCTCAGCTTCCCCAGTGTTGAGATTATAGGCGTGCACCACCAAGCCTGGTTTCGGTGGCTGGCATGGCATGTGGTACCGGGGATCAAACCCAGGTCCTTCCTTGTGCTTGACAGGCAGGCACTTTGCCTGTTGAGGTATCGCCCCAGCCCCTCTTTCCTTCATTCTGATTCTGGCTTCCTCGCTGCCACTGTCGGGAAGGAAAATGTTCTGCTGTGGTTCCTTCCTGTGGCCCTGGCATGTGTGGCGCCTGGGGTCGGCCCCCGGGGCTGCACTGCAGCCCATGCTCGATTCTTGTGCACGGAGCCTGTGCTCTGCAGGCACAGGGTGGCATGGAGGGCCCTGCTGTCAGGTGGGGGCAGGGTGGCATGGAGGGCCCTGCTGTCAGGTGGGGGCAGGCGTCAGCCCTCCTCTGCTGTGGGACTTGAGTGTTTTTATCATGGAAGGTGTTTGTTGGATCTTGTTGGTAGCAATTTTTTCTGTGGTGATTGCCATGCTTGTGTGGTTTCGTCCCTTCATTCTGTTGATGTGACCTGCCACAGGCCCTTAATGTGGCCCTTTCTAGCTTCAGGCCCACTTCTGTCCTTCCAACCATGCCCCAAGCACATGTACAGGAAAATCCAGAGCCACCCCAAAAGAGGACTTGGGAAAAGAAAGGGGGAAGGCACCAGGCCGCCCAACTCTTTCTAGATCCTTGCCCCAGAACCTCCACCTGCTGCCCTGTCCCTCTTGTCCATGTCGATGACATTGTCCCTCTCTGGCCAGCCTGCTGTCCCTGGACTTGCAGTGGCACCTGCACTGAGGCCCAGGGAGGTGCTTAGTGAGTAAATCCTGGGACCAGAGCTGCTGTAGGTGAAAGTATCCAGGCGGCCTTGGGAAAAGTGACTCGGAACAGTCTGGACTCTGCTCCTGGTAGCCTCCCAGGTGTTCGGTCCTGCAGTATCTGCTTGCTGAATGCCTGCACGGACAGCCGTCTCCCAGTGCTGGGGACCTAGCAGGGCTATGCGGCGCTTCCGCCAGGGCAGGCATGCAGGTGTGTACATCGCCTCCCTCCTCAAAGTGCACTTGCTGTGCAGGGATAGATGGAGGGGTGCCACTGAATTTTCACTGAGGTATGGCCACCCTACTTTGGCCACTGTCCCAAGATTTTATTTCTTATTTTCTTTTTCTTTCTTTTTTTTTTTTTGACAGGATCTCACTCGGTAGCTCAGGGTGGCCTTGAATTCACTGTGTAGCCCAGGATGGCCTCAAACTTATGGTGATCTTCCTCCTCATCCTGCCCAGTGCTGGGGTGACAAGGGTTTACCACCATGCCTGGCTGTCCAAAGTTATTTATTGCCCCTTCCTCTCTTATCTCAGAACTGGGTGACATTGCTGTATGATTCTGCAGTGACAGGAAGCGCACAGACAGTGGCGGAGATAGGCAGACGGCCGCATGGACCCCGGGGAGGACACTAGCATTGGCTGCAGTCCCAGGTGGTGAGCACAGGT